CAGGGTTAGTTCTATAAAAAGAAGGAGATGATGAATGACAGACACTTAAAGGAATCAACTCACAAATCCTGAAATAAGTCGAACACCAATATCTAGACCAGAGACTGCCCAGTGGGGGCCAGCAGTTCTCCCTCATTGAAGGTCCCTTGTTCTTCCTTATTGTTGCTTGTGGGGACTGTAAGAGGAGCCACCCCAGCCAATGTCCTGCAGCCCCCAGTAGTGGCAAAACAAACTGCAGAATTGAATTATGTCTAGAACAGACTTCTCCAACCAAAAAAATCCCAGGTGTGATCCTACACATCTGATTGGCCAAGGAGACTGCTGACTCCTATCCGCTCACCCCTATTATTGCAAAAGATTTTCCTTCAGGAGAAGCCCTAGACTTCTAGACTGGGACACAGTGTGTGTGTGTGTGTGTGTGTGTGTGTGTGTGTGTGTGTGTGTGTGTTAGAACTTTCAGGAACAAATGTGACATCCAAAGCATGTCATTTTTCTTCATATTCTTGAGACATGCAACCAAGGAGCAAGAAGTTCCTCTTTCTGTATTGTTTGCATTTTTCCCCCCTAAAAGTTGCATATCTGTACATAAAGCTGACTAATCTTTAAAAGTTGCTTTTACTTCAAAATCGGGCACAAATTGTGTGACTGTGTGAAACATTTCTTCCTGTCTTGGGAGAAAATTCCAGAGACCCACACCTTCAACAACATTCAGAACTTGTGCAAGTTAAAGCTAAGGCTGTCTTAGTGCAGAGGTAAGGGACACACCTCCAAACCAGGGCTTTCCAACCCATTTACTGTACTAAGAACATTTTGACTCTTCTTGCCTCAAGCTATCCTTCACACTGGCTTGGGGACTGGCACACTCCAACACTTTTAAGATGTAGCCCTAATTCTCTAAGCAGACCTGGCTGTATGTCAATCAAAACTGAAACTGGAGGAAGCTATCTCTGTCACCTGATGATTTGGGGTCCATCTTATCATGTCGATCCCTTGCAGTACAGCGTGAACTTGGCTTACCCTTGTTGAATCTTGATTCTATGAAAGGCCTTTACCTTAAAGACAGGAGACTGTTGCTACATGTTAGGGAGAACAGCAGGAAACATCTGTCATTTTAAAAAAGTAGTTGATAGGCCTTTGCTTATGGTTACATGGACTTTTATAACTCATCATGCAATTGTCCTGAACTGTCTTCTGAGAATCTGAAAACTGATTTGTGATCTGCTTTAAACATAGCACAGGACTTGAATGCTACTTTGGCTTTATTATTCAATCTTGATTTTTCCTTTGCCTGAACTGCCCTATTTTATATGCAAGCACTAAAAATTAGTGTATTTTTGTGAGTCACCACAAATATTTTTTATAAGGAAAATTAAATATTTGGGAAATTAAATGTCCCAATTAGTGTAGTCTGTTCTTTATAGCATGTTATCTTTTTTGTTGATCTTTCTTTTCTAAGACTATACATAAAGATGTTGAAGTGCTTTCAGAACCTACCCTGTGGTCTAATTTTTTATTTTCTCTTTTTCCCCCCATGATGTTGGGAATCAACTCAGGGCCTTATGCTTGCTAAAAATCACCGTACCACACTGAGTTATATCCTCAGCCCCTCCCCCCTTTATTTTTGAATACTGGTTTCTATCTTCCAGCCAGCCAATCTCAGCCACCCCCAGGCAACATTTAGCAGTTACTTCTTAACAATATCAGTTCCACAGGGGAATCTAACCTGTAGCAAAGACTGCTCTAAGAGCCCTGGGCACAGCCCCAAGCCCCTAGGACATGCTGGTGAATTGTGTAGCTTTCCCATCTCTGGTTTGTTTCAGGGCAGCTGACAGGTCTATATGGAAAACATTACTGAAAAGACATCCACACAGCACCTCCCCCCAGGAGCATTTAGGTCCATATCATTAATCTTTGCAACAGGCTATGAAGGAGCAAGGGGCAGGTTCTCTCACACCAGGGGTTCATAGATGAGGTGATGGTGCAGATGAACTGGGCTCGCATGGGTCTGGGAGGTCCTGGAGAGAGCATAGGTATGAGGACAGAAAACCTAAGACTACCACATGCAGCCTAGGCACTTACTAGCATCTCCCAGCCTGCAGCCTGAGCAAATGCAATTTGTCTTTTGCAGGACTGTTTAACTTTTCAGTAACTGGAATCCATATATGGTCCTCCACAGCTCCTTCCGCTAGGCTCTGCATTCTGGCCCAAGCTCCTCCCTCTCTCATCTCAACAATTAATGTCTGCTGTCAGTAGCTACCAATGGGTTGACATTCCAGGCCTGCAGCCAAAGGGTTTTAAAAGGTGTCTCAGTTGCTCACTTCTTGCAGAAATGCTCTGATCACCCACCCATAAGATTCCTCCCCAGGCAAATCTGGAGTTTCTCTGCAGAGTATCTAGCCCCTCCTCCTCATAGGTGCTGGGCATAGAGGACCAAAAATAAGCAGCTCTGACACAATTTTGTGCCACACAGTTTCATATAATGGACATGGCTCTGGGTTTTTTTTTTTTTTTTTTTAATCTTTTTGTAGCCTGCATTACTTTTCTTGAAAGGCTACATGTCCACACACGTGGCTCAGTAAGTACTATTTAACGAAGCCAATAACTAATCTCTTATACCATGCTCTATATAGAACCAGTATCCTTAATGCAATAGTAGCAAAACAAAACAAGATGAGAAAAAAAAATGGCAAGTTTTCAAAACAGAGTAACTGTTAAGAAAATAAATATGGAACCTTCTGCCTGAAAGATGACCTTTCCCTTCCAAGATGGGATCAAGCACTTTTCTGGCACAATTTAAAGTGATCAGTTTTGATAAACTCCAGGATGGGTTTATTTTTCATGTGCTTAGTGAGGTCTCTCTTTAGAAACTCAAAGAACTGCTGTGAAATAGGCTCCTCTTTATCTAAAAAGTGAAAAGCTAGAAATCTAGAAACCTAAAACCTCAATTTTCATGCTGTGCAATAATTTATGTGTAAAATAATGAGTTAAAATCTCCTGAGCTGCAATATATGCCAGGCACTGTGTAAAAATGCTTTATAGGCATTACTGCATTATAAATATTTAAGAGGGAGAGTTCCCCATTTCACAAATGAGAAAACTGCATTTCAAAAAGTTAAATTACTGCCTGCTCACTCATCTAGGTAACCACACTGCCTGGGTTTAAATCCAGGTTTTTCCCCTCACCTCAAAATGGTTACTCTCAAAGTTCTGTAAGATTCTGAAGTGTCTTTTGAATTACCATTTGAAAATCAACTGTTTTTTTGTTAACTAGCAGGACCATATTTTAATATCAAGCATTATATGGACATCTCCTCTCTCTTTGTAAGCTTTGTAGGGAAAAAAGCCACCGTATTGAACTAAGAAATGAGATATTTAGGTCCAAGGAATTTTGTGAGAATCAAATTGGGAAAGTGGAAAACCTTTGGAAAAATACAAAGCTTTCTACAGAGGAATGAGAATATCTTTGCTATCAAAAATGTCAGCGTGTTATGTGACGTGCATGAAAATTTTCAGCTGACCAGAATTTCAGGTAAATCAAAACACCTGTCTTAGCTAACCAATGCGCACAGGATAACTGTGAGCAAAGCTACCCTCTCACATAGTCCTGAGAGGCAGAACGCACAGATGTTACAGATGGGGCATTAAAATCTTTTGCTTTTCCAAATTAATTCTTGGCCACCACCACTTGCTTGGTTCTGTGGTCCACATCTCTGTCTCAGATTTCTCTTTGACAAGCACAGAAAACTCCTGAAGTGCTCTAGTGTTAAGAGCTAACTTATACGGATCACAATACCCTTCCCTCCCTGGTTTTACAAGGTACCTGTAAACAGGGCTGCCTCAAACAGCACGTAGCAGGACCTGTGATTCACGTGCCCGCCCGGTTCACCCAGGTGTCTCTGCTGATGGGCCAGGCGTTGCTGATGCTGTGCGTGGCGTGGAAAATCAGATAAAAGCTGCTCAGGGCGAGCACCTCGCGAGGGTGGTGCGCGTTCGGAGTTATGGGGGAAGCTGCGGCAAGTTTTACCAAGTGAAACTGGAGGATTTTCTTCGAAGACACTTTAATGAAAACCTCCACTTGGTCAGTAGGACTATTTCAGGTCTGTAAAAGATTTGGGAGACTCTTGGGGAGACTGTTTCAGCCTTTTAAGCTTCCTCCTCCCGTGCTCTAAGAGGAAAATTGGGTAGCTGAAAAGCACAGTGCAGGTCCTCAAAGGGAAAAGTCAAACCTCGGCTTGACCCTAGGCTTTAGAAATCAACTGACAGCAGGAAGGAAGCCTATTAATCGCTCTCCTCCCCTCCCCTTTCCCGGGGTGAGAATCGGCTCCTCCTCCTAGGCGTGCGACCCTGATGCATAATGCAAACAGCCGCCTGTTTTCCCCACCCGGCTCTCCTCTCCCAGAGGAGGAAGAGTGGAGGGCGAGTCCAGGGCCAAGTCAAGCCAGTCTTGTCAATCCAGCGCGAACGTCCTAACTGGCAGCCCTGGCCCTGGGATCCTCACGCCGGCAGATAAACGCCCTCCCTGCGGAGTCTGCACTCAGTACCGGGACTCCCAGCCTGACACCCCCAGCCCGGTAACCCCCTACAGACCCTGCGCTTTGTACAGGTGGTGCAAACGCCCCCGCTCTCTGGCGCCCCCTGCCGGGGAGAAGGAAAGCGGCGGCCACGGAGGAGCCCGACCGCCGGGCGGGAAGAGAGCTCCGGCGCGGGGAAGAACCCCGGAGCTTCCCTGATGGTGCCGCCACCTCCTCCGAGCCGGGGAGGAGCGGTCCGGGGGCAGCTGGGCCGGAGCCTGGGTCCGCTGCTGCTGCTCCTGGCGCTGGGACACACGTGGACCTACCGGGAGAACTCCGAGGACAGCGACAGGTAAGCGCAATCAGCGCCAGCGGTGGGCGAGCTCCTGCGGGGTGCGGCGGTCCTCCCCCCGCCCACCTTAGGAGTTCCGCACGCCTCGGCTCCTCTGGCCTCCTGCAGGCTGCCCATCTGCCCTGGGCGACTCGTACCTCCGCTCCCGTGGAGCAAGCAGCCTGGGCTCCCCGTGTCCGTGGGCTGGGGCGCTGCGTCTCCCTGCGTCCAGCCTCCACAGCGTTCCTCTTCCCTGGGGACCGAGGTCGCCCGGTTGTGAGCCTCTTCTGGCTGGTGGCTACGCGCTCGGGGGACCCGCGCCTGCTCGGCGCGCCAGGACGCAGATCCCAGGGCTCCCTCTGCCCTTAGCTATCCTGCTGACGTTCCCCCCCCCCCCCCCCCAAACTCTCTCATAGAGAAATCTGCTCGGAAAACAAGATTTCTACAACCAAATACCCGTGTTTGAAGTCTTCAGGCGAACTCACGACGTGTTTCAGGTAAGCCCCGGGGCTCTGCGGAGTCCGCCGCTGCGCACCCTACAAGGGAAACGCCGCGCTGTAAAGGGGCGGTGTGGAGACGCGCTACCAAACTGGGGCTGTGTTTACACTGGGACGTGCTGGGTGCCTTCTCCTTGGTGCAAACCTTTGTTATGGGTGAGCCAAAGCAATGAAGGACAACGGAGTTGCATCTGGAGTGCCCTAAAACCCTGGGAATGATTATCACCCTCTGAAACTCTTGCTTGGTGGAGATCGAGAAGGAAAGAGTTGCAAGGAGAATGGGTTGAACTGTGGGTGTAACCGGTGGGGCATGGCGAAGGTGAATGTTTTTTTATTTTGAAAATAGTCAACAAGGAAAGACTTGCTCTTAACTGTCTCTTGACCTGTGTCAGGACAGTGTATCACTGACAAGGCCTGTGGGGGAGAATCGTGGGTGGTTGATGTTCTCCAGTGAAGAAAACAAACGTCAAGATTGTTGACACCAGAAAAATGATTTTTTTTTATGAATGTGACCCAACACACCTGGGTGTCATATCTATCACTTGGCTGCTTGTTAGAACTAAGGAATCTAATTTAATAATGTTCCCCAGGTGGCTCCTGTCAACCAACAGGAGGTAAGAACAGTTGGTTCTTCTCTCCCAAAGGGGAGAACTGCCGTTTGTGCTTACAGCATTTTGGAGGTGAGGGCCGACTTGGAATTTTCCTCATTCAATTCTTGGCTTCTGATCCAGTCTCTGGACTTAGGAGGTACACACCTGTAAATGTCGGTTGTTTGCCTTTTAATGATACTACCCAAGTTACTGGGATCACATTCTTATACCAAAATCTGCCTTTGAGACTCAACACTGTTTAGTATACTGGGATAACTTTTGGGTAGTAGAAGGCAACAGCAAATCCCAGAACTGTACTTGAAGTTTTATGTTGTAGCTGCTGAGTCAATCAGAACACTCTGGCTGCAAGCAGTTTCATTCCACGAGCTCAAAGGCTCAGATGTACGGTGGCTCTAGGGCTGGTTAATTTTGTGGTTCAAAGGTACCATCAGTTACATTCGTGCTTATGGTTTTAAATTGCTTTGGGAATAGCAATGAAATAACCATCACCTGTATGAATCACTAGCTGCTTGGGCTTGGGAAAGGTCCCATCTCCTGTCACATGGAGGGTGATGACTGAACTAGGTGTTAGAGGATGAAAGATGTTTGACTTAGCTGGTAAAGACTTTCAGTGGTTAGAACTGGGTGAGCACAGTGGCCCAGCTGGTGAAATGACCTGGTGGAGTGGGGAGCAGGATTGCTTGCCTAGTTCCAGCCCCACACAACCGACCAGTTGTCCTCAGGACATGTTTTGCCATCACTGCCGTTTAAAGCCTTTAACATGGAAAATGTCTGTTTTGTTCATTCAGTCCTAAAAGGTCAGACTTCACAAATTGGTGAAAGTTTGCACAGTGCACATCAAGGTTTCAGAAATCTGATATGCCTGATGGTTATGCTATTACTACCAACTTTTTTTTCAAATTTCTTAAAGCAACAAGCTATTTAGGTTGCCATACACCTAAATATTTCTTGCCCTGTCTTAACCACACACTATCAGTGCCTGCGAATGTGAGGTAGCTGTCAGTAAACAAAGTGTATTGGGAGCAGAGGGTATTTTGGTCTCGAGGAAAAGAGTAAGGAGTTTCCGGGTGGGGGAGGGTTTTCAGCTTGGAAAAAGTCCCTCAGAATTTACTCTAGTTTTTAGATTCACATGCCCCCCCCAGCTCCATGGAAGTCGAGTTCCATGGGCATTCCATTCCATTAATCTTACACTATTCCCGTAACTTCATCTCAGTTGGCAGTTGATACCTTCATCGTGCTCTGGAGCCTTGAGCATGGCAGAAGGCCGTGTCCTTGGTTGAGAACTGATTGTCCTGGGCCTGTGGCCCTTGCTGCTTCAAGTGTAGTCTAGAAACCCACTGTATCATCTGGGTGTTAATCAAAATTTTAAGAGCTTCCCCAGACCCCTAAATCTGTAGATTAAGATACAAATTATGATTTATTAATGAGATGGAGGGGCTGGGGATGTGGCTCAAGCAGTAGCGCACTTGCCTGGCATGCATGCGGCCTGGGTTCGATCCTCAGCACCACATACAAAGATGTTGTGTCTGCTGAAAACTAAAAAATAAAAAAATTTCTTTGTCCTTTTTTTTTCCCCCAAACCTTGAAGCGCTGCTATAGAAAACAGGGTTTGCAATCCTGGAACGTAGAGTAAATTGATTGTGGACCCATTATTAGGAGCATGGGACTATCCATGGAAGAGTGAGCAGTTAGCACTTTCATCAAATTAACCTAAAATAAGAACCACCTGCTTGCCAGGAAATCACTCTGCAAGGACTTGACTGATGGGTTATGTAACATTAAAGTCCCAGAGAATGTGGACTAGGTAGAATCCCACCCTTTCCAGATGTTCTTGGTGAATGTTTATCAGCACAAGAGAACTTGACTTGTTAAAGTGTTTTTCAGTTACTGATATGGAACGTAGATGTAACTAAAACAAGCATGGTAGGTGAGATCTGATCTGCCATGATAACCAAAAGTGTATGGTGAGCTACATGACTTAAAGGTGGACTCGAAGTAGTCTCCCTATCCCTGAAACTCCTGTGGCTTCACCTAAGCACCTTTCAGCTCTTGGCATCTTATGAGTGAAAAGTAGAACAATTGCCTGGTAACCTGGCACTCTCCTATGCACTTCCCATACACTAACCCACAGAACCACACTTCAGCATTTGCACTACTAGTCTTGCAAAGGGGAACCAGAAACGGGATTAAATGGGACTAAGTAACATGCCCACTATCTCAAAGCTAAGGTCTCAGAGCCGAGACTTGCATCCAGGTTGGTCTGGCTTCAAAGCCTGGGCCCTGTCATTATCCTGGAGGTACCTATGGATGGGATGAATGTTCCGGATCTAAGGCAGACTAAATTCGGATGGCGCTGCATTTCAAGATGGTTTCATAAGAAACCAAACCATCCACATCTATCCACAGTAATCTTTTTATTTCCCTTGAGGTCTTCCTTGGGTAACTGACTTTATTGTATGCAAAACTGGTTTCATAAATGCATAGCTTTCCTTCATTTTAGGATTTTCTCAGTCTCGGTTGATGTCCTTGTAGACTGTCTACCTCCAAGGTGCATTTGTGCTGAATCCCCAGTTTAAATGCTCTTGCAGTAATGCCAGTGACCGCTTTAAGTGAGGAGTTTAAAGTGAACAAATCTGCTTGGCATTTGAAGTGGGATCAGTAGTTCAGATAAATCACACCCCGACTCTGATCATAACTATGAATTTATTGCAGCCGAACCAAGCACATGTTATGGTATTGCTCTTCTGTGGCTGTCAGCTTTTCCCACAACTTGATATTTTCCTTTCCTAAGCCATGTAGTTTAAACAAAATGTTTGTTTAATCTTATTGGGTTTTACACCAATAAAATGATAAATGATTTCTTTAAAGAATGTTGTGTGCCAAAGACGAATAAAACCCAGATTTTAGGTTTGTGACTGTATCCAATAAACATTCTAATTTCATTCCTTAATAAATCCTTAACTATTAGCTCAAAATAGTCCTAGAGAATGAGGATAAAAGAATCCAGTCTCGGGTCTTCTGTAGTTTACAGGCTTAAAGACTAAAGTCTTACAAACTGTAGCCAATATGCTACATCGTACAATGGAGTTTGAAGTTGTGTAGTTCAGTGCTAATGATGGAGTTGAGATAAGCAGCCAGGAAGAATAGACTAGTTTTCTTAGTGGATCTTTAATGTAGCATCTTGGGTGTCTCAACTGTACTAGCTGACTTCCTGCTCCCTTGACTCACAGACCTCCAGGTAGAGTGGCACCAGTGTCCCTCCTGCCTCAGGCATGCCTGTGTTCCTACATTAGTTCACCTGAGGGATCCCTTATACATAGGGAATACTCTTGCTCAGGGTGGCTGATGTTCCCATGGGAAAAATGACTCAAGGGTGCAGAAACTGACTTTGAGATGATGCAAGTATGTTGCAATTCCTACCAGAACATGGAGGCTGATGTGCTATTTTTGCAGTTGCCTTCACTTAGTTTGTAGACCAAGATGAACATTTAACTAGGGCAATGCCATAGGATTGACAGCAGTGGGCTCTAATCGTGGAGGAGAGTAAAGTTGCAGTGAAAGCACTATTTCGATCAGGCCCCATGGAGGGGTTTTGATCATCGCAAAATACTGACACATTTTGCTGCGTTCTGAATCTCAGCTTTTATTTCACGATCTTGACCAGTTCTTAAATCTCCAGGCTTTGTCTTCACAAAACAAGCATCCTGCTAGTGCTGAAGTCATAGGGCGGCTGAAAGGGTTGAGTTATAGAGGCCAAATAGTCAGACTGAAAACGGGAAGTGCTGGGTGAGTGTTCCCTCCTGTCACTGCTGCATCTCATTAAACGTGGCACCATGTGCTTGAAGGAGGTGCTCGATGGACACTGCTTATATATGGATTTTTCGGAACTTTACAATACTTCTGAAGAGTGTATCTAGACCACAGCCAGAAATGGCTCCACCAGCCAACATGCTTTGTTTCTAGGTGTTTCCCCAAGTGTGGGGCAGTTCTGTAACTTGGGGAGCAACATGTTAATTTTCCCAAGGTACTATCTACCCAAGACCATAGATCAGCGGGAGGGCATAGCCTTCTAAAACTTGGGGTTACCACGTTTTGCAGATGAACAGAGGTGTGCCCTTTGCCCAGGGTCGTGAAGGCTTCTCTTTGAGAAACATCTGTTGCCTCCCATCCTGTGTTGGCACACCTAGGACAGGCATGGCAGATAGTCCTGAATTGTTGGTTCCTGTAGATCCTGGGAGTCCCCTTTCAGAAAGCAGTGTTTTCACAACCAACCATATCCTACTGGGAGGAATGGTAGGAACAAAAGTTTTGAGAAGAGGTGGGGATGGGGTGTAGTCTTTTACAGAGGGCCAAAATTCCATGTGGGGAAGGTGGCTTCTCATGTGCACCACGCAGTCTGCAGCACTGGACTGTCTACCCTCTGAGGGCACGGGTCATTCTCTTGTTCCCAGCCATATCCTCAGAGGTCAGCTATGCCTGGATGCAGTGGCCGAGGCACATTTGTTAATGAGTGAATGTGTTTTAAAGGAAAGAGTGTTGAGACTTGACTTAAACCTGTTGGGCCTCCTAGGACTTCTGTTGATGCCCAAGTGTGTGTCCTTTAAAAGCTGAGTGATTGGGATGTTCTTGT